TTTTTAGAAAGTGCAATGAAACATGCAAGAAATTTACTGATCATATCTGGAGATTGAAAAATTGATAGAAAAAGTCTCAGCTGACCAGGCAAAATTTTGCTGACATTTTCCCCATTACAGATTTCCTCTGTTTTTTTTGCTTTATCTCCTTAAATTTTCAGGTTGTCAAAAAAATCTATATTTGACAAGATAACTTTAATGAATAAAAAAGCTGTTTAATTATCTATTTAAGATTTTGTAGGGTGATTTGAACCAGGCTACACCTGGAAGAAAATGAAAAGTGAGACAAACATTCTCCAGATTGATGTCAGAGACTGATAGAAAGTAACAGAAAGCATCCCACTTAAGTTATTACACTTAAATGGAGCAACACAAGTTAATACAGAGTACACTGAAGACAGTGGTTATCAATATGAGGAAAGAGAAAATCACAGCGACAAAAACCTAACAGTTTTCTCAAATAAAACCTTGCAAGAGAAACATTGACAGAACTACAATGATATGAACATGCACTGGTTGCGTTTTCCATGTTACAGCAATCTTTAATTTCTTTTTACAACCTTTTCTATACCTAAAAAAATCACAGTCTGGCCACAATGTCTTAGAACCTTGAAAATATGTCAGAGTCTGAAGCATGAGTCTGCAATTTGCACTATCCAAGGAGCCATTGTTTCCTTCTCTCCAGCATTAGCCTGATTAGACCTGCAAATGTTAGAAGACCCTTTTGAAAGAAAACATAGTATTTATGATAAACTATAAATAAAGCTGCTACAGGAAAGTTGTGTTTCATATTTAAAGAACCAAAATTTTGCTTCTGTCTTTTAGTTTTGAACTAAAGGAAATGCCTGAATGCAGACAAAACCAAGGTAATAGTCTTTGGAAAAAGTCTTTGAAAAAGAAGCTGAATAGTCAGTCACTTCATTTGGATAGGGATTTAATTCCAGGTAAAAAAGTAAAAAAAAAAAAATCTTTGTGTTATTTTTGATCAGGACCTGTTTTTTAAATCCCATATCAAAGAGGTTTCTAGAATTTCCTTCCTTCATCTCCGGAATTTTGCAAATACTACAAATATCTTATCCAGGGTGCTGATGAAGGTTCTCAGTCATCCAGGTCCTAGTCATTCCGTAAAAATTCAGTAAATATCCACTGGATAATCAAATCTTCAAATCTTGAAAACCAAGTCCAGTGGATATTTACTGAATTTTTACGGAAATCTTATCCAGGGGTGATGCTGAAAAAGCGGTCCATGCGTTTGTTATTTCAAGGATGGATTTTTGTAAGTCTTTATTATCAGGAAGTCCACAAACTGTAGTTAAAAGCCTTCAGCTGATCCAAAATGCTGCGGGAAAAAAACTTGAACCAAATACCAGTTTTAGTCAGTGAGGCAGACACCCAGTCTATATCTAAAGGTAAGCTTAAAACTTTCCTTTTTGATAAAGCTTAGAGTGGCTCAGGTTATACTAAGCTAACTATAGAGTTATGCTGCCATAAGCTTAGACTGCTGGAAGACATAGGGACCACTTTTAATCATTCTGCTTCATTCTATCTCTATTCACCCCCTCTGCAGTATCTGTTAGTTCAACCTCTAACTTTATGCTCTCTTCGCCTTTTTTCATCATAGTAGTAGCTTCTGGTCTGTTCTTGTTTTGCTGTGACACCATCCTGGAGAAAAATATCAGCTGTGCTGATGCCATCAACACCTTTGTTTATGGATATTTGAGCTTGATCTGTTTTTAGTGTAGTCCTGTTTCTCTTACTGTGACTGGCTGGATTTTTATTTCTTTATTTGTTTATTTGACAGGGACAGTACAATTAAACATTGCAACCAAACAGGTGGCCGATGTCCAAGTACATAAGGCTTGTAGCCATGGGCTGACTGGAGCCTTCATCCCTGGTTAGGCTTTTAAAAGGTGTTAGCATTAAGGGGGAGGGAGGTTAGTAATGACACACAGATGCATAAAAAAAACAGGAGAAGTTAAAACAAACAAACAAAAAAAGTACAGTACAAGCCAGTTTAGTGCTCACACTTGATTGTCTTTGAGCCATTTTTTCAATCTTGTGGAGAAAAGTCAAATATCAGTCTGTGACTTAAGTTCCAGAGGCAAAGAGTTCCAGAGATGTGATGCTTTCACTGAGAAGGCGGACTGACCCATACTGTAGATGTCCGACATCTTTTAATCCTGCAGTTCCCACTAGCTCCAGCTCTTGTCCTGTTTCCTTCATTTGCATACTTTAAAACAATTTTACAGATTACTTCAGGGGCAAGACCATTAAGGCATTTAAAAATAGCATTTAAAAATGAGAAATTTATAAAATTTTCAAATGGCATCATGTTGTATTTTTTAATAATTTTGCAGTGATCGAATATTTTTAATGCTTGCTTGTGAAGTGAGAGTAAAGGTTTTAAAACAGACTTTGTGGCCTGGGCCCAAACGATGGAGCAATAAGACATATGGGATAAAATCATTCCATGTAAATATACTTGTGCAGCTTGATTTGATACACATGCTCGAATCATTCGAAAACAGTTTATATTTGTCTTGATGGTTTTCGTCATGACTTTCTGTTTGTATCACAAAATCCCAATTCATGTTTTTCAGGTCATTTTCAAATAAGGGTAGTTTGTTTTTTGGAATAAACATTTGGCTTTTGTTGCAGTTGGCCTTGACAGATGGCCGCTCACTCTGAGTCTGGTTCTGCTGGAGGTTTCTTCCTGTTAAAAGAGAGTTTTTCCTCTCTACTGTCACAACAAGCATGCTTGGCGTGAGGGATTTCCTTCGAGTCAATGAGTCGATGCAATCAGCTGGATTTCCTTAGATTGAAAACTTTGAAAACTTGAGAAGACATGTATTGTGAATTGGTGTTATATAAATAAACAGAGTGAAATAAAGCTTTTAAAAACATGTAATGGATAAAGTTTTTTTTTCTGTTAGTTGTTTGAGATTTGTGGCAAAACAATGTTAGGAAAAGCAGAGTTTCAAAGATAACTACAAGAAAAATAGCTAAAAATAGTGTTGTTACTATGGGGGAAATCTAATGCAATCAAGCCATTAATAAAAAAATAAAAATAAAACTTGCATAAGCAGTTATATCTATATTTAATTTTTGTTGTTGTTGTCTTTGTCAAAATTATTCAGCCCTTATGGAAGGTCCTTAAGAGAATATTGTGTCTCTGAGCCCTGGGTTGCAGACTTCTGGTCTAAAATCACCAAACTAGAATCTTTGAGCAAATTTGACAAACAATTTGTTTGATGTAGAAACAGAACTGGATTTCTTGAGAAGAATAACTTTCAGAATATCTTTCAAGTTGTAGAAAACTATGACGTTATTTACTCATTTGACCGTGTCCTAGACTCTGAAACTGGTCAGCATACATGGTTTTAGATCAGTCAGTAACATGTGAGGCAAAAAAGGGGGTAAGACCAGATTCAAGCATATACATAGAAGTAAACCAAAACCACCTTGAGCCTTTTTTACTTCACACAAGAACCTATGAACCCAGATTCAGAGTAGTGTAAACATCAGCATTTGAAGAGGAAATCTGGAGCCTTTGCCCTTATCCAAGGACAAAATTTTCCCTGTTATAAGGAAGATTTAGGAATGTGCTAATCAACGATTGCCTCTGTTGTCCTACATTGCATCTTATGGATGGCATAGCTGCAGAGGTAGAAACACACATACCGCCTGGCATTCCTCCATCCTGTCCTTGTTAATAGATAAGAGGTGTCAAACCTCTAATCCAGGGGTGGAGATGGCCTGCCAAGTTTCCAGCTCTGCAAAGATCAAAACAAATCAGGATATAAAGAAGATTGTGTGCCCAACAAAGTTTCTTATTAATGGCAAATAAAAGGAGAAATAGCTTAGTTATATAATTTATATTTGAAGGATTTTGATATTATTTTAATTGATGGGCCTTAATATTTAACTTATATGTGTGTGTGTGTGTGTGGGGGGGGGGGGGGGGGGGTGTTGGTGTGTCGTGTGTGTGTGTGTGTTTGTGTTTGTGTCTGTAGTGGTTGTTTTTTATTGTGACGATGGAAACAGAGTCTGTTTTCTGATGTGAAGTAAATAAAATACGTCAAAGGTCTACCTATATACTATCTATCTATCTATCTATCTATCTATCTATCTATCTATCTATCTATCTATCTATCTATCTATCTATCTATCTATCTATCTATCTATCTATCTATCTATCTATCTATCTATCTATCTATCTATCTATCTATCTATCTGTCTGTCTGTCTATCTATCTATCTATCTATCTATCTATCTATCTATCTATCTATCTATCTATCTATCTATCTATCTATCTATCTATCTATCTATCTATCTATCTATCTATCTATCTATCTATCTATCTATCTATCTATCTATCTATCTATTTAACAAACTGTTTATTTTTGGTCCCAGATACTCAGTAGCACAACGGAGTAATATTTGTCTGGTTAACTTTTTGCTTGGTCAGGCAAAGATGAGCATTTGGCTCAGCGGGAGAAATAAAATGAAGGAGAAAGGTTCTGTAGATGTTGACCTGATATTCAGAGAGCTGGTAGCTGCATGTCTTAGGACAGAGTTTGCCTATTATAAGATGGTGTCAGACTCGAAAGAGTTCATTTGTATATGGGGAGGTGGAGATCTTTTATGTTGTGTAAGTGATGAATTGCTTACTCTCAGTTTTTGTGGGTTTTATTTTATTTCTTTTTTTTTTGGGTTTCATGCTGTTAGGATGAGTGTATGTATATGATTCACTTGTGAGTTTGTATTATATTGACATATTGGACCAATAAATGGGAGTTCATGGTATCTATCTATCTATCTATCTATCTATCTATCTATCTATCTATCTATCTATCTATCTATCTATCTATCTATCTATCTATCTATCTATCTATCTATCTATCTATCTATCTATCTATCTATCTATCTATCATGATTATATGCAGGCATTTTATTAGGGGACTGTAAATTGCTTCATGTAATATTAGTCTCGCGATACTAACTGTTCGCTCAGTGCGAAGAGCAGCAGAGACACAGCAAAAACATATCGGTTGTTTCTTTGGTGTCTGAAGTACGAGCGTCAAAAAGGGAGACACTGTTTGTCGCACAAGTTTTTCTCTACCCCAAACTTCCCGTTTTAGAAAGCGTGGTGTGTTTGTTATAGTCAGAGAGGAATTCATCAGTCCGCAGCCATAGAATCCTAGTTGTATGTCTGGGGTGCTAACTGTTAGCTGACAGGCTACTTAGCATAGCCAACCACTGAAGCAATGGCGTTGAAAAGAATTCAGAAGGTGAGTGTATGTTTGCTTTTATTACCAGACAAACGTTGTTTTGGATGTTTCTGTTATGGTGTGACTGACTGTTTAAAGATGCAGTCTCGTTGTAACATTTTGTGAAATTTGGCCTCGCTCCTGTGTTTTCTGTGCTCTTTTTCAAAATAATTCAAAGACAAAGGCGGTTTGACCACTGCCAGCTCAGTTGGTGCATTGCTACACTGATACTGTTTCAGTTATCCGTATAACACTTTATAAATACCTCCGTTTGTTTAGCTAAAAATGTCTACCATGAGAAGAAAAGCGGCAACATGTAATTTCGTTGCAGTTAACCTGGTTTTTATCCAGTGAGTTAACAGATCAACGTTTGGCTAGCTGTAACTGCTACCGTTTTGAAGTGGAGACGTTGCGTTGGCACGAACATTTTCTGATATTTTCCCATCTTTTCAGACTTTAGAGTCATTTTAGTTTGTCTCCAACACTGTAGCGGCTGGTGTGTTTACTCTCTGAATGACAGCTGCACGGTGGTTGCCAAATTTGAACCCTACAGTCAGTGTTGCCATATATGGAATGGCAAATGGGCCACTGGAGCAGGCTATGGTGTGTATTTATATAATAGGCTTCCTTTCAACTGACGTTAAATAACAGGTCTAATTTCTGTTTAAGAGTTTGATGTTTAGCTTTTACTTGAATTTTCATTATATAACTTTCATGTTTGCTTGTTGGATTTGATTTGTGGTTAAAAAACAAAAGTTAAGCGATTTTTTTATATATTATTATTATTAGATCAGATTGCTTTTAAAAAAACAAACATTAGGACCTAAAGTAGTGATGCCTTTGTTAATTGATTGAAATTTTCATCTGTTTAAAGATAATTAATGAAAACTGTGCCGCTCAAGAAGTTTCTGGTTAGAGTATATTTGCAGACAAATAAGTATTCTCATATTAAACCAGAGAGCATCCATTTATTTATACAGTTTGACTAAACTACTGCTCTGAGTGGATTGCTAAATTAGTTGAAGACTATTTCTATATTTAATTTATTTAAAGTTAATTAGATTAATTTAAGCGCCAAATTTGTGTAGTAGTTGGACCCTGTTAATTCAAAATCATAATTAGATAGACTTTAATGGGCAAACTTGAGTATGTAAACAGTCTTTAGATTTCAATAGCTCACGTTGTAATCAATGTACCAAACAATCACCATGAATAAAAGAGAAAATGCAAGTTGTCATGGTGCAGATTGCATATTTGTTTACTTTTTTTCAGTAAGCTAACATAGCTAATTTATGTTAGTGTTTTCTATGTTTGAGATACATTGAATTATCTGAACAAATAACAGCACTTTTCACTGTCTATTCAGTTGACAAGGTTAATACCAACAAGGAAGATTTTGCGCAAAATACTTCACACATAAAATAACTTTTGAATGAAACCAAGGTCGTCTGTGATTGAAAAACATTACACTGGTTTAAAACCTGATGCTTTTATGTAATCAATGTCAGTTTACACAGAAGATTGAGACAAAAAAAAACATTGTTTAATGTATAAAAAAACATTGTGCAACTTTTTTTTATTGTTTTAGTATTTTTTGTGATTAGAATGGTGTCTGTTCATTGATTTATAATAAGCATAGCCAAAGGAATACATTACTTACTATTCTGTTTACTTTTACTAAATAAACTATGCCCATCTAGTACATTTTACCATAGGGAAAAAGGCAATTCTGAATTGATCATTTTTAAAGAGCATATTCAATTTGAGTTTCAAATACAGAAACAAACGCTTTCAGATTGTATTTTATTACATGTTTGCATAAGAAAATCAGTTTTTACTTTATAGGTAATTGAATTATACTTGACTTTTGATAGGATTTGATTTTTTTTTCTGAATTAACCATTAACCTTAACAATAAGCTCCTGCTAACAGGAATGGAAAACAAGCAAGTAGTGAATGAGGATCTGTGTATTGACTTTACGGTTTGATTTCGTGTTATACTTAAAAATAGATCGCTGCCTTTGAGAGGAGTGTGCCGTCATTAGTGTCGTCATAAATCCAGCAGTTGGAGCAAAATAAAATATAACTCTAAAATTCATCAATGGCCACATCAGATTTTCACATACAAACAGCTTTATCAGCAAACACAACATACTTCCTGCAGCTAAGAAAATCTTTTAAATCATAAAATAAGTTTCATATAATTTTCAGACTGTTTTTGACTTAATACACCTAATTATACCTGCTGCATTATTTTAAGGGCTTTAACGTGATTACATTTTTTTTCCTTTTGTTGAATTATGTCCTAAGTGTCTTATCTGAAGTTCATTATGTCTTTACATAATAGTGTATTATAAATTCAATTTTGATAACCTTGTACTTAACTGTTTGGTATTAAATGAAAATCCAAACACTCTGGGACAATTGTTAGGAGATTCACTATATTAATAAAATCAAAAGAAATCTCAAATAAGTGACCAAATGGAGAATCCTGTGACCTATTTGCATAGTTTGCTTGTTTTTGCAATCTGATGCAACCTTATTTTTTTTTATAAAATAAAATCACTGATACTGAAAAAGAAATCTTCTCTCTCTGTACCTTTATGCCTAGATTAACATATATTTAATTCATATTGGCATAATCTCATAATTTCCTGCCAAGATCAAAAGCAAGTTATTTTTTTTCAATGCTGAATGTAAGAATACCAAAAAAAAGTTGAAGAATCCTAAATTTAAGCACATCATCAAATTAACAAATTTGAGATATCTAATCCAGTATTGGAGTGCAAGAGGTTCTGTAAAAACCACCTTAAGAAATGCTTCAGTAAAATTTTACAAATATTTTTACATTGAATGCATAAGATAGTAAAGCTGGATCTGGTTTTCTGCTTGTATACCATTTTGCTTGTATGCATTTTCACACTTACTGTAAAAGATGGTCATATATATATATATATATATATATATATATATATAGTATGCACTCACAAACTAGACTGGTATTAGAACCAACAGAATATAATGATTATATTTAGTTGTTTATTTCTTTAACTGCATCAACAGTTAATTTTAAAGGAATAGTACACCCAAAACATGATTAGCCTTCATTTTCTACTCACCTCCATGCTGAACAACACTCTGGAGTACTTTTTTGATATCTCAAATGCATCTGGAGATCTGGGAGGCTTCTTGCTGTCTGCTGACATTCAAATAATGGAGGTCTACAGTGCCCGAGACAGAAAGGTCCATAAAAGTCCACAAAAACGTGTCAATATTCCTCCATACTGCTCGTCCAATGTATTCCAAGTGTCCTGAGTGAGTAGCATCCAGAATTTACTCGAAACGAAGTCATTTAGAATGTTTTTAGAGCATAAACAGTAGTGTATAGGATTTCCTGAAAGCGCGCGCCAGCGCGTTCAGGACGCTACGGAAGCCGGCAGACCAAACCAGATGAAAGTGCGCATTCAGCGTCTGCTCTGCTAATAATGCAAGTGTAGAAGTAGAAATGTGCTGTTTACCTGTGCAAACAAAGAAACAACGAAAGAAAAATGTCTGAGGACTTCAGTGTTGAGGAAGAGCAGGAGTTCTTTGCCGAGCTGAATGCGCTGGTTTGGTCTGCCGACTTCCGTAGGCTCGTGAACGCGCATGTGCGCGCTTTCAGGAAATCCTATACACTACTGTTTATGCTCTAAAAACATTCTAAATGACTTCGTTTCGAGTAAATTCTGGATGCTACCCACTCAGGACAATTGGAATACATTGGACGAGCAGTATGGAGGAATATTGACACATTTTTGTGGACTTTTATGGACCTTTCTGTCTCGGGCACAATAGACCTCCATTATTTGAATGTCAGCAGACAGCAAGAAGCCTCCCATATCTCCAGATGCATTTGAGATATCAAAAAAGTACTCCAGAGTGTTGTTCAGCATGGGGGTGAGTAGAAAATGAAGGCTAATCATGTTTTGGGTGTACTATTCCTTTAAGAGGTTATTAGATAAACTGCTGTTTGTCAAGGCTTTATATAAATGTATTGGAATGGATCTGAACCTAACGCTAAATATTTGTGTGACCGTCCTCCTTCAGGAACTGTCCGACCTGCAGAGGGACCCTCCCGCCCAGTGTTCTGCTGGACCAGTCGGAGATGACTGTAAGTATATTGTTATGGATGATTTGTTAAGGCATTGTAGGCATTCCTCGTCCGACAAAATAAATATTTCCTTTTTATGTCTTTCAAAGTTTTTATCAATACCTTAAGAAAGAATGTCAAATTGACATGACTTATTATATCTTAATAGTGTTTCATTGGCAAGCGACAATAATGGGTCCAGTAAGTACATCTGCTTCGAAATTTCAGCTAGTATATTGAAGGGGTATTTTTTTAAATGTGTTGACTTGTTTTTATTTTTGTGTCACCAGAGTGACAGTCCGTACCAGAGTGGAGTGTTTTTCCTTACCATTCACTTTCCAACAGATTATCCCTTCAAACCACCAAAAGTAAGAATTGTCATATATCTCTTATACTTCAGCAGTTTTCACTCTGGTCAAGGACTAATGTTTATGGGCTGCTTTTTTTTTATCTCATATTTTGACACAGGTTGCATTCACAACAAAAATATACCACCCTAATATCAACAGCAATGGGAGTATTTGTCTGGACATACTAAGGTCGCAGTGGTCACCTGCTCTCACAGTGTCAAAAGGTAAATCCAGTTAACATAGGAATTTGTGCTTTTCCAAAGAAAGACTAGTATTAATAAAACTAAAGGTTGAGTCAATTACTCTGCTCTTGCTTAGGCCAATAAGTTTGGTTTTCCTCTTTTACTTAAAATTTTCTGGCTTTATATGATCACCATGGTAGTTGGAAAGTCTTAGTTGTCAGTAAAAAATTACATTTAGTGACAATTTCATTTGACCCTTCCTCTTTATCTTCCATCGAAGGCACCATGTATGACATGTTGCTGTAGACCTAAGCTGAGGCAGCAAAAAAATAAAGCGAACACGTAAACAACACAATATAACTATTGATCTCTCTACCTTTTCTAGACAAGTAAAAACAGAAGTCTGTACTGATCAAACATATGAAGGGGTTTTAGAGGTTATATAGTATTTAGATTGAAATCACAGTAGGTGTTTTCCTACTGATGGAAATTTGGGCTGTTTTTATTTGCATCATCTGAATCTCTTTCTTCCTCTCTTCTTTACATTTTGTAGTCAGGATTTGCAAAGTTTATTTGAATACCTGTTTAAGTTGCACATTTTTGCAAACACTACATTAAAATTGCTTTAGCTTTGATCCACAACTGTAACAAATAATCTGTTGTTATTACTGGATTTTTCTGATTTCTCAGTTTTTAATTATGTTCTGTGCTTGTGGTTACTTTAGCAGCTAGATGTGCTTAAGCAGCTTAGTCCAGGTCAAGGAGGACTCTTTTCGAATCTGTCAATGTAAAAACCTCAGTTTGAACATAACAGTGAAAATACAGAAAGCAGACTGATGGCAAATGATCAGAAAATAATATCCAAGATGGCAATGTTCTGGGTTGAAATGACCTTAGTGCTAACTTGGTGCTAAGGTTGTTTAACGATGTCTTTAAATACTACTAGAAGGCAGGTTATCAACTCAGGAAATCAACCAAGGGATGCTGACGTAAGATATATCTGAAATAGTGCACAGATCAGATGGAAGTGGAAGGAAGAAAGTAACCGCTGACGTATTTACATGTAGACTGCTTGGAGATGTTAATAAACCAGAATATACGTCTATAAAGGTCAAACTAACCTCTATTTGAGCCTAGCATAGCCTGACTATTTTGGATTTAGACTTTGCTTTGTTGTTCAACCATGATTTTCCTGGGGTCTAACTATGTGAGGACAGCACTGCCATCCGGTTCCTTTTTATAAATTTTCTCTGGAAATTTACTGGTTTAGAGGCGTCACTTTTATGCTCTAGATCTCTAATCATGAAAAGATTCAGCTCCAGTTACCATAGGTATAAACACAGGTAAGAAGTAAATCAGCTTTTTGTTTTTGAAAAACATGAACTGAACCTCAGTTTACCTCGATTTACAATCCTCATTTTGTGATTCACAGTAAACATCAATGGTGAGTAACCATTCTGGTTATACAACAAACCCCAAACTGTAGCTGTTTTTTCCTTCAAAATCTGGACAATTATCCATAAAAACATACTCTTATCGTGTTTTTTTTTTGTTTTTTTTGTAGATTGTTTTTCTCTCTCGTGTAGACGGATATTGAATTTGATCTCTAACTTTAGCCTTTTGCCTCATGTCTCCACAGTATTATTGTCTATCTGCTCCCTTCTTTGTGACCCAAATCCAGATGACCCACTGGTTCCAGAGATCGCGCATACGTATAAAGCTGACAGGGAAAAGTGAGTGTTTACACCACAGCTCACCGTTTATCTGATTCTCACTCTGAGTTTTGTTTTTTAGAGAAATAAACTTTAAACCAGAGGTGTCAAAAATGTGACCTTATGCCATTTATTGCCTTCAAATTAATTTTGTGCTGCAGCTAATGCTGTTGAAAATGGAAAAAGACCCAGTTTAGCTTAGCTTAGCTTATTTTCAGGGGGATTGTTGGACTAGTGGTTAAGAGCAGTGCACTTATGCTCTGAGAAGGTAGAAGTACCTTGTTTGATCCCCACAGCCTGCACTCTGGGTCCCTGAGCAAGACCCTTAACCCCACGCTGCTCCCCCGGCGCCTCACAATGGCAGCCCACTGCTCCTCAAGGATATGGGTTAAGTGCAGAGGTAAATTTCTCCAATATGAGATCAATAAAGTTCAATTATTATTAGTTGCATCCACAACAGTTACCAGATTGGGAAATGTTGCAGTTTATTGCTGAGCCTTTAGACAGTAAAACTATATTTGCAATTTTATGGCCTGCAAAAGTTTTTGTCCCTTTCTACAAATGTTTGAGCACCACTGGTTTAAAGTTTACAGCATCCTTGAATTTATTCCCTTTTTTATGAACTCTGTGTATACAAAATTACAATAAAAGTTGTCTAAGTTGTCCTCATCTGCTGCTTGCTTTACAGGTACAATAAATTAGCAAGAGAATGGACTCAGAAGTATGCAATGTGATTACACAAGGAAGACAAAAAAAAGAACAAAAGAACCCACTAAGGATTTGTTACTTGTTACAAATGAACAAAAGAGGTGAGAAAAATAAAAAGTAAAAACAAAGCAGCCCACATTTTGAGAAGGAAGTGATGTAATACGGTACAGTGCCACTTGGCTTTCTGTGTGCTGAGCTGCTACAATGTGCTGTCCTTCATTACTGGTATAGATCTGCAGAGCAGGACCTGGCGGGCCTCCTTAAAGCACTCCCATAAGGAATACTGGAAATTCTTTACAGTTCCTGATGCCACACTCAGACTGTAAACTGGTCATTTTGTTGTGATTATCATTGTTGCTCTTCATACACTTCATTTTTACTGTCATATTATGACCCTGCAGAGATGCAAACTGTTTGATCTGGGAGAGTTCCTTCTCCTTCATTTCTGAGGTACTTTATGCACCCTTCTGGATTTCTTCTTATTTCTGTACTTTCATGTATTTAGTGGCCTTTTATGTGTTTAACTGTTCAGTGTATGTGCAATTGAGACAGAATGTTTCTCGTAGAACATGTAATGGCCCAGCAGATTATCTGCTGGCAATGATGGTCTCTACCCCAAATCAATGTGAAATGCATAAGTAAAATTAATAGTTTCGATGTTTGCTGTAATTGCTAATTTGAAAAGTATTTTACAGTTTTTAAGACACTGGATAGCTAATTGTTTTAGAGCCAGTAGGCTTAGAGTCTGTGTTCTGGGACCCTAATGGGCTGGAGTTTCATTTCCCTATTCTCACATGTGGTCATCGCACTTCTATACTAATGAATTAACCACCATTCACTGATATATTCATTGTGCAAAACAATACTACTGTCATTTTGTGTTATGTAGCTACAAACTTACATAGACCTTCACGTAAAGCTTCGCTGGGCTCCACCTTGTTGGTACAGTTACTCAGGTATCTCACCATGTTATCAGACTTGGCAAGCATTGACCCGTTTTATTATTTGTTCTCTATGTACAGTCCTCATCTCTGTTCATATTACAAAAAAAACATTTTTTTTTTCTCCCGAAGAGGCAGTGTGTTGCGCACAAATAAATGCTGTGTAAGAAGTACTGTCATCCTTGCTACCCCTCTGCAGGACTTTTGATATTCACTGAACACCAGGATTTTAACAGCTTTCTTTCTCATGATGAGACTTAATCACTACTGTTTTACTGTAATAAAAGGGGTCCTTTTATTGGAGAGGAGTCCCAAACTTTGCCATGTTAAGTTGTGAGCATTTATTTACCTGAGATGTTAAATATGACACTATAATTTGCTTTAAATTATGACATGAAGTATTGTTTTTTTTTTTCATATTCATGAGTGGGTCTGCAACATTTTCTTTTGGATTTAACTGACAGTAAAACTGTTTGTCAGAGTAATACATCTGTGGCTGTATTTTTGAAAAGCTTAGTTTTAGGCTTTTTTTTTTTTCTTCTCTGTGTCACAAAACCTGAACGTGGTTGTGATGTCATATTTCTAATGTACTCCGTTGTGAATGCTGGAAAAGGCAGATGAAAAAAGTCGTGATTGTGTCTCAGTATGCTGGTGCTGCCAATTTAAAGGGAAATGTTGGATATTTAAAAAGGGAAGTGTTTTTTTCTGCTATTGAGGCATTGATTAGTTTTAACAAGGAAGTTGCATAGTTAAGCATGACTGATTGTAGAAGCTTTGTAGAATTTACACTGAATTAGGCAGGTAACATAGATTTCAATAGCAGATGTTATAGAAACCGTTAAAAGAAGTCCTTAAAAAAAGAATACAGTCTAAAAGTGTTAAACATCTATTCTCTATATGCAGTGAAAGGCTTAGCTGCACAATCCAGTTTAAGTGCAGTCATCTATGTACTTGTTTCAACTGTATTGTTGAACTCACATCCAATTATGAATATGACTGATGCTACATTTAACTTCTTTGTCCAGTGTGCACCGTAGATTTTTTTATAGGCAGCTTGGCATGCTTTGCACTCTGGAGAAACCTTCTCACAGCCATTTGCCAGATATCAGGGATTTTGTTACATTTTATCTGCCTAACACCTCAGACTAAAACATTTTTAGCCTTAACCCTCATTTTTCTATATCTGGAGGATGTATCATTAACTGTAAATTAGCTGTCAGGACTTTTAACTCAAAATTTGGTTGTTCATTCATCTCGTTAAAAGACACAGGAACCTGCTTGAACAGCACTGATGTTATGGCTTTGACAGAATGCAGAACCTGCCTTCATGCGTTTGAAAATCTGGAGTAAAATATACTTTGACTGCCACCGTGAACCTTCATGTATTTACATAGTTTAAAAACAAGATAACTAATGACATTGTTATAATAAGAAAATAAAGTTCATCTTGGTTTATTACTGCTTATATTGGTGTTTTTGTGTGGAAAAATATAACTTAATCATGTTGACAGAGATATCAAACTTTAGATGTCACAAGAAATAAGTTTAAAATTTGTTAGGAAATTCAATGACTTAAATCTCGGCTGCATGAAGAAAATATTAAACTTCCTGCACGCAGTTTGCTACAAGCCACAGGGAGAGGTTCAACTATGGAAGAAGGTGATCAGGAACACCAGAATCATTATTTTACCTACATGCAAAATGCTGCATGACAAAACACATTTCATGATGAAACACGGTGGTGAAGGTTTCATGATGTTGGGATGTTTTTGCTTTTCTGCTGGTACAGCAAAGCTGGATGGAGCAAATAGAGGGCAAATGTTGACGAAAACCTGTTAGAAGCTGCAAAATATGTTTTATTACTGGGACATTGCTGCAGGGCAACAACGCTAAACATGCAATCAGGGTTGTAATTGTTTAAACATCAATCTGTGACTATTAGGCCTTATAAATATCAATGAAATGTTTTATTAGAGCTTTTTTTTTTTTTACTTTTTTTTTTTATAAAAGTTTGCTTACCTAAAAAAAGAGATTGAATTGTAGTTCTTAACATAAGACAAAAAGGACTCTTAAAAGAAAGAAAAACTACTAATTGGTAAATTGGTAAAATAAATGAACTGAAAACTGCCAGCCTATCTGACCAGACATGGGAAAAAAATTTAAAAATTTAACTTTAAGGGTACAAAATTGTTAGAAACTAATAGAAAACGTTTATTCTATTTACTTAATAGGCTGGTAAGCTTCGGCCAGATTTCTATAGATTTAATGTGTTCATCACTTTGTGATATAGCTCACAAAATCCAACAGTGTTTCTAAGTTACTTAACACAGTGACAAATACAGGACTTTAAATACTTTTCTTAAAGTAACCTTTTAATTAACTCCTTAAAATACCCTTTTTATAACTGGAGGGACCTTTAAAAGGCAGATGCCCAGGGGGTGTGTATGCATGTAGAGGGCCGCTGATTACCATGTAGCGACGCACACCTTGGGTACGCTTGATTAATTGGTGCTTGTGCGAGGATGTTACGGTTCAGACCTAAAATTTGATAAACATTGAAATATAATGAACAAATAATTGCCCCTGATAGACAAAGCGAGGCTTCTAAAAAATATGAATTGATTCCTACATTGTCAAGAGTAAAAGTGTTGAAAGAGCCCCGCCTCCGGGTTTCATGAAGCCTAATATGGAGGACACCTTGAGCTAATGTAGCGTCCCTCAGCTGAAAGTCAGCATCGTCGCCACTCCTCCTGTAGAAAGGGTGCTGCCCGTAGAGAGCTAGCTGGCTAGCTGTACTCGGCATAAACGATGTCTGTAAACCTCAGCAAAAATGGCCCTGCGTTAACAGCCGCCTATAAAGAAGTAGTAGATGAAAAATCCGACACGAACTGGTAAGGGCACCATCTTTAAATTAGCGTTAGCTCGAGCTGGCTAGCTTACAACGGTCGCTAGCTTTGAGTCAATCGTCAAATAAGTTGCTTTAAATTGGATAAAACTTATACAGTAAAGTCAAACCAATTAGCGTTAAGCTCTTAGACACTATGACAATAATAATCTTAGAAAATATCGCATCTCTTCTCCTAGGAGAATATGCTAATGAGTTATTGACAGTAATTCTATAGGGATTTCAATATGCTAACATAAAAATAGCTGTTAGTTAAACAATTAAGTAATTATTTAATATTTATTTTAAGCAGCAACTGTGAAATTGTCTTATGAAGTAAATTAGGTTTATTTCCCACCTATTTTACCCACTTCCTGACGAGATAGAGGTAAAACATGAGAGGCTAATTTAGATACTTCCTCTTTCATGTCACACAGTCCTTAGAGTGCTGTCAATGCCTCAAGATAAAAACCTGTTGAGGACAGCTGAAGTGTTTAACTGTGAGCTTCATTAATTAATCCAAAGGAGAAATTGCTCTGGGAACTATATATATATCTCTTCGCAATCTTTCAGTGTCTTCATTTTTTTTTCTCTTTTCAGCCCTCAGACACTTTTTCTGGAACATAAAATTCTTCCCCTGACTTTATCACAGGTTAATTTATGAGAATTAACATTAGATTATGCTTTGACTGAATTCACAGAAATCTAGTTCAAAATTGTAAGAGGAAGTAGCTTGCAAGTTCCCAAATAGGAAGTAGATTAATCAGCAGTATTTGTTGTTTTTCTTGGACCTTGAGTCTGCAATTTTTAATAGCTGGCAGAGGGAACGTTTAAGACTAAAGATTTTAGGTACGCCTTCAAGTATTTATCTTTTGATCTTCTTTTTTCTTTTGTTTGTTTGAGGAAAAACGAGTATCTATAGAATTTATCTCAAATTTGGAAATTGGTCCACCATAAACTGCATTAAAATGATTTATCAAACTTGGCTAAATTAGGGATGTCCCAATCTGATATTAATATCCGATACTGGACCTATATTGGCCAAAAAAACTGATATTGGATTTTATCAGCTGCCGTCTAAAACCTGCAATATTTCCATTCTCATAGAAACACTGTTTCTGTTTAAAATGTTCTTTAACTTATTGGTTAATTTTACATGGGTTAGTTGTTTACATATCTTTTGTTGTTGACTTTTGGCCCCTGTCTTAGTAGTAATACTTAATCAAGCCTTTGCTAACATTCTACTGTATAAATTAAGTAATAAAAAGCTGGTGTGATTTATGCTTCTGTTAGCCAATATTTGAGATTTCAGGCAGATGTTTTCCAATATCAGTGTTTTAGCAGACATTTTTGTGACATTAATGTCAAACTGGGACATCCCTACTTCTGATAAGATTTCTGAATCCTTTGGCACCTTTTGCTGCACAAAAGAGAAAAAATGCTCCATCCTGTTTAACTAAGGTTTTTTTAAGCCCATGAGATAAATTAACTATACCAATTACTTAGTTAGATTTATTTGACTTTCTTTTATGTATGTTTTCCATCCAAATAATTTTAGACTATCAAACTACCAAGCTGTTAGCTGATGCACATATACACTTGGTAGGTAGGTAGGTTTTAGTTTTGATTTTATAAACGATAAAAGATATTTGAATTTTTTATCTACTGACGACCAGAGCTGCTCTGTTTAGTCGCATTGGTCTATCTCTAGTTAAATAACTTATGCAGTCTGATAAGCTCTTATTACAGCTTACCTATGCATTTCAGTATAGTCTGCAAAAAATATAAAACATAAGATTAGTTTGCAAAGCTTTTTCTTTTTATATCTTTATCCATGTGAAAACACATCGCAGGGTAACTATTTCTACATTTCTCTAGTCCTGCAGTCGATATATGTCTTTGCTGCCCCTTCCTTTTATTTTCTTATGAAATATATCCTTAAAGTTGAGATGGGTCTTTTCTCTTTGCAAGTTTAAAAAGCACATTTTTGTATAAATATTTTAGATCCAATTAAAACCAAAATGTTTTGCGTCTAAGAATATAGTCTTTGAACAACCAGTCTTAACATGATGTAGAGTTTTAGGAACAAATCCTATTAAATCTTTCTGTTGACAAAGATCAGCAGCCTGGGAAGATTACCAACATGTCTGTTTCAAAAGAGGATTAAAACTGCAGTGGTATTTACACAACCACTTCCTTTGTAGAATGTCTTGTCTGAAGAGCACTTACCGTATTTTCACGACCATAAGGCGCACCGTACTAAAAGGCGCAGTCTCAGTTATATGTGCCATTTCTGTATTTAACACACACATAAGGCGCACCGGACTATAGGGCGCATTTTTTATATACAGGTACATGTCCTCTACTACCTTTAAATAGCTCTACTGCGTATTTTAAAAATAAAGCGGGCCCAAAACTGAGTATGACTGTGC